TCTATGGTAATTTTACATCAATTTTATTTATGGCTGGTCAATAAAATCTATTTTTTCCTATATAATATTAGAATAATAATATTCTATCCGATCAAATAGGCCTAGTCCTAGTCCGAATTTTACGTATAATTGCTATATAATTACCTACATCGTTAATATTTATTTGCACGCTAAAGATACCAAAAATAAATAAATAAATAAAAATGGAAAGAAGCTGAAGAGGCTTTAACGATCCCTCTTTGATTTCTCCAAAGTGGTATCTTCGTTTTCATTTTTTCTCTTTCCGACTCACTATTCTCTTTTCCACTTTGCAAAATTGAAGGGAAAATAAAGAATTGAGACGTCTCTATTGGTTCATAAAATCAAAGGGGAAAGATATATATTGGTAAATACTATGTATAATGGAAATAGAATTAATGAATGATTCGGGAATGTTAACAATTATATCCTCTGATAAATGTGAGTTGTGTTAATCTATGTGATTCTATTTCAACATTACTTTTTGCTTATATATGATCTGCTAAAAGAGTAGTGCATATATGATACAATATACTGTAGCCAAAATATATATTGAAAAAAAAAAAAAAAAAAACATGAATACATACTTCCAATCTTATTAGGATTTATTTTTTTTCTCTTCAAGCAAACATATACGTTTATATGTATTTTTCCCTTTTATTTTATGAACCAATAAAGATTTCTTAATCCTTTGTTTTCTCTTCAACTTTGCAAAGTGGAAAAGAAAATCGTGAGTCAGAAAGAGAAAGAATAAAAACGAAAATATCACTGTGGAGAAATCAAAGAGGGATCGTCAAAACCTCTTCAACTTTTTTCCATTTTTATTTTTTTAATTTATTTTTAATATCTTTAGCGTGCAAAGAAATATTAACGATTTAGGTACTTATGTGGCAATTACACGTAAGATTCGGACTAAAAATAGGCCTATTTGATGAGTATCATTACTCATCTTATTATATACTATATGGAAGGTGTATGTATAAATTGAAAACTTAATAAATTCGAATTTAACTCAACTGTTAAATCAGTTTTTTTATCCCTTCACTAGACCAATTCAGTGAGAGGGTAATTGTAGGATATTTTTTCCCTCAACCATATAATCTAAATTCACAAGGATCATTTAATAATTCCTTAGGTCACTAACCAAAAATACTTTATATTTAAATGGCATGAAATGTGAAACATAATATAACCCATAAATGAAATTATGTTAGAAACTGTTTTAAAAACCCTTTTATATTAATTAATATTTTTTGACTAATAAATTTATATTATAAATAATATTAATTAAGAAAATAAAAAAAAAACTCAAAATAATTAGGTAATTAAAAGAGCTTTAAAAAAAAGGGCATTGTAGGGTTGAAAAAAATTCAAAAGATGGAGGCTATTTAAATTTTTTATATTCTCTTATATATTAAAAAAAACGCTTAATGAAAACACTTTAATAAACTTTTAATGAAAGGATAACCTTATTACTTTCATTTTGTTTACAAAAAAATGTATTTAAATTCTCAATAGTGTGAAAATGATTCATAACTTAAGTAACATAATTCTTTTCAATAGGTGTCGCTCTCATGTTTCGAACATATTTTCGCTTTCACGTCTCGTGCGCGCCTTCTCACTGTTTATGACTTTATTCTTCTGCTCTCATTATCGTTCTCAAATTCTCTCTTGCTCTTATTCCCGCTTTATATGATTTAGTTGGTAACTATTGAAAAATCCAAAAGAAAAATTCAAAAAATGCAAACTATTTATTTTTTTATTAAATATTTAAAATATTAATTGGTAAAATATATAAACATCCCTAAATTCGAAGGGGAAAGATGTACTTACTATTATTTTATTTGTCGATTTAGACCATTTTATTAGCTACTCACTAGATCCACACTTCACTCACCTTTTATAGAGCCCATGCTTGGAGACAATATTAAATATTTAAAACTTTAATGAATAAAATATATAAATATCAAACAATATTATAGAAGTAGTTGTAACTGTTCGGAATTTTCAAAACGAAAATTCAGTGCAAGTTATTTAAACTCTTAATATTATGAAAATGTTACATAACTTTTGAAATTTTTCAAAAGGAAAATTCTAAAGAAAGAAGATATTTAAATTCTTCTATTAAATACTTAAAATGTTATTTGATTAAAAAAAAAAATCAACCAATATTATAAAAGTGGTTTGCAACATTTGAAAAAATTCAAAACGTGTAAGCTATATAAATTCTCATTATTGCCCATAAAATAAATATAAGAAATAACAAATTTTATAAAAACATTTTTATGACTTTATTTTGTATTTAAAACAATGTTAGAAATAATAAAAATAATATTGCACTTTTAAAAGAAGTCCATATATAGATATATATTTAAATATTAAAAAGTAAACAATAATAAATATCAGCTTTACTTGGTTATGAAGTCCACCTAATAAATATGATTGTACACTACATTTATTTCATGCAAGAGTACATGTACAATAAATAGATCCATATTAATTATTTATTTATTTATTGTCAAATATAGATGTCTCGTATTTAAAAATTATTTATTTTTGTATTTAGAAAAAGTATAGAAATAAAAAAAAAATCCTTACACTTTTAAAAACAGTATAAATATATATAAATATCAATATAGATATATTATAAGATAGAATAATAAAATGTGATTTTATTAAACTTGCTTACCAAAAAAAATGTAATTTTATTTATTGCCAAGACAACAAAAAAATTTCAAAGTAGATGCATCCAACAATTAAAAGTTGTTCCAATGTGGAACCCAATCTTACAACCAAACACTATTGGCCTCACTTATGATCTGACATGTCACTTGTCTGCAGCATACATCTAAAAACACCTTCCAAATCCAACATTTCTATAACTAATTAAAAATACCAAATGGATAAATTAATAAATTATAATGAAAAAAATCATCTGTTCAATCTAATAATTTCTCATTTTTTCTTATTTATTGAAATACTATCATGACAGAGTGTTTATAATTTAAAAAATTAAGAAATTAATGATCAAATAAATAATTTTTACTTGATGGTCCACTTTAATAAAAATCATTGGATTCTAATAATTTCCATAAATATTTCTTTCAAATTTATCTTCTTTTATATATTAAAATATTAGTAGTAATGATTTTTAAAAACTTAAAAATTAAGAAATTAACAATCCAATATTAGAAGTAATGTTTTATTCGGTGAGAAAGTTGAAACATAAAAGTTATGTTATGAAGGGCCACCTAATAAATATGATTATTTTCAAGACGCATAACAAAATAACAGAGCCCAATAAATGCTTATTGTTACATGTTCATGCAGCAAATGTAATGAAATAGGAAGGGTATTTTCATAATTTTACTACACCCGAGTGGACAGGTCTCCGCGTGCTACTCTGCTATAAATTCAAACCAACCCTCCCTCTCTTTTCACGAATCACCGGCCTATACAAAATCAAATACCTTCCAAAGATGGCTTTGAAATCTGTATCCCTTTTCCTTTCTCTCTTGCTTACCTTCCTTTTATCAAATGTCTCCGCCGTGTCAGGCCGGGTGGCGCAGGTCGATGTCTGGCATATTAAGGACCCAAAATTCTCGGCCGGTCCTTGGCAGCCGATTAAGGACCCAAAATCCTCACAAGTGCAAGAGATTGGAGCGTTCGCGGTCACTGAACACAACAAACAGACCAAAGAGGACTTGAAGTTCGAGAGCGTTGATTCGGGCGAGACCGAAGTAGTTGACGGTATAAATTACCGGCTGATTCTCTCGGCCAATGACGGTGACGCTTCCAACGAGTATGAGGCAGTTGTTTGGGATAAGCCTTGGGCGCATTTTAGGAACCTAACGTCCTTCAAACTTATTTGAAAGGCTAAAATGTGAGAATGCCGGTGGGTTAAGAGTTGCAATATTAAATCTGTTACTGATGTTCTCTGCCTACTTGAAATTAATAATATTATTATTATAAAAAGAGTATTGTTTTCTTCTCTTTTTTCTGTTTATACTAGGTTTTAAATATGTGATTTAACTTTAAAATTTTCTTTTGGGAATTGGGATTTATCCCGATTAATCCATAAGACACCTTGAACTAACCTTTAAATTGGCTTCAAATGATCTTAAGATAAAATAGGTGTCCTATGGGATTTAGGTCTTTTATTTCATTTCTAATATTATTATCAGAGTAGAAAACCACTATCAATAATAACTTCTTCTTTTTTCCCCTTTTTCAAATCAACCTTAATTTAAAATGATTACATATTTTAATTTTTAAAAATTGAAATTTGTGATGGGATAAAATTTTATAATATTATTCTTATTGGTACATACATATTGAGGAAAATACAACCCAAAGAATAAGAAATAGTCAACCAAAATAAGTACTGATGAAAATTGACATGAATGAGGGAAAAAATAGAGAAAACGAAGAAACAAGTTAATGGTAAAAAGAGAAGCAAGAAAAAATATTATTAAGAAATTAAATTTTATTCAACAATTGTTTAATTTTTTCAGCAATTCCATTTTTTTTAAATAAAAAATTAATTAGTAATTGATTACTCTGATTCCACTTTGAAAAAGTATGTCATTATTGTCTTCAAGAAAGATTAAAATTAGAAATTATACTATTTTAAATTTTCAAATCCAATTATGAATCATCACATTCTATGTTATTTCTGTATATATAGTTAAAGAACCTCATTATATATATATATATATATACATATATATATATAGTAATGAGCTTTTATATTTATATTTAAATATAAATGTATTTTAAGGAATATATATTTATATATTTAGTTAGGTAAATAAACACACACAAAAATAATAATAATAATAACAATTAATAATGCTTATCGTTACTGGTTCACGGAGCAAATATAATGAAATAGGAAGGCTATTTACATAATTTACTTCGACACGAGTGACAGGTCTCCGCGTGCTACTACTGCTATAAATAGTCAAACTAAGCATCTCTCACTCTTCACGAATCCCCATCTCTCTCTACTCTATATACCCTTCCAACATGACTTTAAAATCTCTACCCCTTTTCCTTTCTCTCTTCGTTACCTTCCTGTTGTTAGATGTCTCCGCCGTTTACGGCCGGGTTGGGGTGGTCGGCGGTTGGGAGCCGATTAAGGATCCAAAAGCCCCTGAAGTGCAAGAGATCGGAGAGTTCGCGGTGACCCAACACAACAAACAGGCCAAAACCGACTTGAAATTCGAGAGCGTGGATTCGGGCGAGACCCAAGTAGTGTCGGGTATGAATTACCGGCTGGTTCTGTCGGCCAAAGACGGCGCCGGTTCGAACAAGTATGAGGCAGTTATTTGGGATAAGCCTTGGGCCCATTTCAGGAACCTCACGTCCTTCAAACGTATCTGATCCAAGGGCTAAATTGTGAGACTGGTGATGGATGAAGAAGCTTTTAATGTCAAATCTGTGTTATTAATTATGTCTGCCTATTTGAAACTAATATAATAATATTATGAAAAGAGTTTCGTTTGATATGTGATTATTGATTAATGTCAATGTGTTTCTTTAGTTTATATGTTTATGATAGATCTTTAATCTTGATGATTAGCTCCTAAGATATCATAGTTGCCCTTTGAATTTAGGCATTTTATTTCACTCGTAATATCAATTATCGAGTAGGAAATCTCTTGACGATAAATCATAAACTCTTTTTTTGCTTGAATCAATCATAATTTAAAAAGATAACATCTCATTTGTCACCTAGTGAGAGTACAGTTGGATTGTGTTTATGGTGGTCCACTTAATGAGGGTGCAAGCTGTTATTCATTAAAGAAAAGTACTTTTCTTTTAATTTTGTAAATTTAGAGTGACATTAAATTCGGTTTACATCGGTTTTAAATTTAGAGTGACATTAAAATTTTCTGTTTAATTTAAATTTTAAATTTTCAGATTCAGTCCTTAATCTTATGTGTACGGTTGCAAATGAACCGAGTCACGCTTAGTGTTAGGTTGTTTGGGTTCGGGTTCAATGGTTTATAGTTTGGCTTTGTTCGTAATGAGCTCAAAAAATTGAACTCAAATTCATTATGGTGTTAAAAAGTTCGGGCTTGGCTCGGGTACATTTAAGAAAATAAATTGAATTTTTAGTCAAATTTTGTTTGGGCTCGTTTTCGAACTTGCCAACTCGTTTAGTAAATTATTGTATATTTATCTTATAATTTCAAAAATTAAAAATAAATGTAAATGAGCCCTGTAACGAGCCTACGTTTAACGAACATAAATGACCTTAGGTTGTTCGATTTCGAGCTCGTTTGTTTATAGTTTGGCTCAAGCTCGTGATGAGCTCAAAAAATTAAACTCGGGCTCGTCATGGTGTTAAAAAGTTCGAGGACGGCTCATTTAAGAAAACAAATTGAATTCATAGTCAAAATTTCTTTAGGCTCGTTTTCGAGCTCACCAGTTCGTTTAGTAAATTATTATATATTTATTTTATAATTTCAAAAATTAAAGAATTTCATTAAAAATAAAAAAAAAAATGTAAATGAGCCCTATAACGAGCCTACATTTAACGAACATAAATGAACTTACACGAGCTCATGTTTATGAACATAAATAAACCTATACGAGCCTAGAAATTAAGTTCAAGCTTGACTAATTTGTTTAATGAAAACGAACCCGAACCGAGTTCTTAACGAGTCAAGCCCGAACTATTCATGAATAACTCGAGTCATTTGCAGCCCTACTTTTGTGTGACCGTATTTGATTCACATTCTATCATTTTTGTATTGTTAAAGAACCTTGTAGGTGCAAGAAACTGTACTAAGAACTTTGTTACTTAGACAAAAGCGTTCAGAGCTCAAAAATTCATGGTACAAAATGTATTTTCCTCTCCATTTTTCTTGTCTTTCTACTTCTTTATATAGAAGGCTTGTGGGCGGTTGTAATTGGGCTGCTGCTGGTTATTGCTCGTAGATTAACATTAATTTTATGGGGACTTGCATTTTGCCGGTATGCTGATTTGGTTTTACCGCCAATGTTCCATTCTTTTACTGGGATGGACCATGCCCCATGTCAAGTTACTTATTCAGGTGTATCGTCAAGTTACTTATTCAGGTGTATCGTCAAGTTACTTATTCAGGTGTATGTTTTTATTGGCGGGGATTTTTTTTCTCCACAAACCTAATTATAAATGTTAACAAGACGTCAAATATGTACATATTTGACGTCTTGTTGACATACATATTTGACGTCTTGTTGACATATTAGTTCAAGTTCAGCGGACTTCATATTTGATGTCTTATTGACATATTGGTCCAGGTTCAGCGGACTTGTGATATTTAGAAATAAAGATATTATGTTATATGTGTGTAATTTGGAGTAATTCTACTTCTAACTAGCTTCAATGGAATTCAATATGAGGCGACCAACAGATAAGAAATAAAACGCCGATCTTATAGAATTCAGATAATGGGGACCTAATAAATCAAGCATTATACGACAATAATACACCAAAATTGAGTGGCCCATACTTCTTCATAATTGGACTCCACATTCATTCATATGCCCATTTCTTATATGAACTAACAGAGTAATGGTACACATTCATATATATTTGTATAAACGAAAGCAATCAAGATTAGTTTCCATTATTTAGATTATGATAGACAAACATTAAATTATAACTTGTAATTGTGTGTGTGTGTGTGTGTGTGTGTGTGGGGGGGGGGGGGGGGGGGGGGGTGGGGAATCCAAATAATCTTAATAGTAGTAATGTACAAAGCATATATTGATAATAAATAATCTATGCAGAAAAGAACATTGGACTAGCCCACGTCACCGAGTTCTAGAAGTGTATTGGACTAGCCCAAACACAAAGCTGGACTCAATTTGAAAAAAAAAAATTATTTATTTGAGAAGCCCAAGACCAGGACTAGAACTGGCCGAGCTGAGCGGGTGGCCCACATGTGTGTCAGATGGTGCAAGCCCAACCTTCACTGGTATAAGAGTATTTACTATGGATCCAATTTCTCATTCATCCATAAACGAATTTGAAAGACAAACACATTTCAACATAAATCCACCCGGAGGTAAGTGTAATTGGGCGAGAATACTGTTAGGATGAGTGACACCTTCTAGAGTTTTTGTCTCACTACTTTTGATGTTGAGAGGTCTTTCAATTCAATACGAAAAATTATTATATGGTTCCTTAATAATTTCTTATTTAATACCTCCTGTTGTAATCAAATAAAAATACAAATAAAAGTAATTATTGAAGTGTGAATAATGCATTACTCGAAATTGATCATTCACAAAAACTTATAGTGTGATGTCATCCATAGCTAAAAGCAAAAGTGATTAAATAAAAGGGTTATTTTTGTCATATTCACTTATGCATATATATTTATAAAACTAAAAGGCAAAATTATATCAAACTGTTATTATAAAATGTATACCAAAGTTTATGAAAGGGTAATTAGATCTGTCGTACTTAAGGTTGTAAATGAATCAAACGGTTTATGAACAGTTCGGATTCGTTCGTTTAGTAAATGAGTCCAGTCTGAGCCTAATTTTCAGGCTCATTTAACAAATGAGCCGAGCACAAACAATATTGGGCTCGGCTCGTATAGGCTTGACTACATGGGCTTCTTAAGGCTCAGGCTCGTTATGCCTTATTTGGACTGAAAGCATCACTGGGGTGCCTTATTTGGGCTGTATCATCTAATTTTGGCTTGTCTATGTTATGAGCTTGATGTACATTATTCTTATATTTATAATATAAGTTTACCTTCCAAATTTTTTATTTTTATATTTTTTTGTGAAATACTAATTAATTTTGAGAACAAGTTTTTATTATTTATAAAATATATATATATATTACTCGTATTTTTATTAAACGAGTCGAACCCGAGCTTTGAAAATCAAGACGAGCTTGAGGCCAATCTCAAATTTTTGAGCTTGTCACGAGTTGAGGCCGAACCTAAGCAGAGTCAGTAAATAAATGAGTCAAGCTTGAGAAGCCCAAGCTCGACTTGACTAGATTATTTTGTAGTCTTAGTCGTACTTTATGAAGTAGAATAATTGTATAGCATTGCGAAGAAACAATATCTTCATAAATTGAGTAGTCCCCACGTGTCTTGTCATTTCTTGAACAATTGAAGTAGCGCCCAATGAACAAACATATCATGGAAGAAATCTGAATAAATGGACCATAAGAATGACATATTCAAAATTTCGTAAAAACTAGAATTAAAATCATCTGGGCAATAATAATTGGGGTTAGACCTTGTTGATGAGTTGGATAGTGTTTTAACACCGGATGCTAGTCATCTTATGACCAAATATTTTGAGAACGTAGAAGATGAGTTAATTAATTTATTAGTACATAATTTATTGATGGATTTCCTGCTTTTGCAGAAGTTAGCAAAAGCATTTACAAAAGAACCATTTCATGCTTTTTAGGGTACCTTTTCTAAGTTTTGACCCTCATTCCTACAATATATATCCTTATTCTTATTTTTATTTATTTTTTATAACATTGATCTTTTATGAGATTTTGTTAATATACACGGATCTTTCATTTTATTTGTCAAATTACACTGTATTTCATTGTAAGACTTGTCGAATTTGTAATTATATGTGTATATATATATATATATATATATATAAAGGTAGAATTAAAATTTGAAAGTTACAAAATCAATATTTTTTTTTGTTGTTGTTGAGCCTTAACGGATGAAAGAATGTGTTATTTAAATACATTTATTAAAGAAGATAAGTGTAATTTAGTAAATAAAAGAAATGTCAATGTATATCAATAAAATTTTTAGAAAACCCAGTATAATTTACCTTATTTATTTTGACAAATTACCTGCTGAGTCTACAGTGTCTAGTCATTACTCATTAGGAAGATGGTTGAAATGTGTGTGTGTGTGAGAGAGAGAGAGGAATTTCACTTTGATTTGGGTTGGCTTAAGCACGTGCAGAATTTGTCCTCGACTTGTAGAATGGAAATTGATGTTGAAGTTGGAAAGTTCCGGGAAGGTGAAGCACCGCAAATATAGGGCTCGCGACAGGCAAACTGGCAAAGTGCATGTTCCACTTCCCCTGCTAAGTGGACCCCATACAAGTTATTATTAACCTCTGAACTATTCCTATTCAGCCAACAGCCAATGTTGTCCTTATACTAGTATACAGTAAGAGACATTTGTCAAACAAACAGTAGAAAAAAAAAAAAAAAAAAAGGACTTTTATAATAAAGTAGTCTTAGTGTAGGTATATTACCCATAGCCAAACGTAATTTACATATTTACAAGTACATAAATTAATTTCTATTTTATCTCTTTATTAAACAAAATTTATATTTTCACCCCTAGGAGTTTAATCTATGCACAATTTACCCAAAGAACAACTTATTCAAGTATTAGAATTTTGTCAAACAGCACTTAGGAACTGCCACATATCTCTAGAATTAAGAGACACAACACGTAGTTTACAAAGAAGAATTGAAGAACTTAGATATAGAATTATATTAATACAAAATATTTTAGAAACTAGACGACAACGATTTTAGTTT